TCTGACAGATGTCACACAGTTGATGTCAGCATTTGACAACGTCAAAACCAGAAACACAATCTGTAATTTTTATAACTTGTCCTTGGGATTACCATTTTATTGGCTGCCTCTCCAAGGCCTGTATATCACTGCGTCTGGCCCTGGTGCTCAGTAGAAGTGGGATGCACCTCTGTCCTTCAGTCAGTCTGATATATTCTGGATTAACATGCATTAGCCTCACAGGGTTCCTGTCCTACTGTCATTATGTTTCTGGTTGCATTCTATATGTTAACTTATCTATAAGATGCTCTCAATTGTTCTTCATGCCAAGTACAGGCTTGGCACATGGAAGGAGTTTATAGAATGAATGGATGAGTAGTGATCTCAGGACAGTCATCTGGCATCTAATGGGTAGCAGCGATTCGGGAGCCTGGGCGTAGAGAACCACATGGGATCCCCCACTTCAGACCCAGCTGATGAAGGCAGAACTGGGACAAGAGGGAACTTGCCAGACCCTGGCTGGATGGCTGAGTCAAAGCAGCCACTGTCAGCTTTGTCTACTATCATGTGAGTGATCCCTGCCCACTTTCTGCTGGAGGCCCCCCAACCCACATGCCAAGGTTTCTAGGCAAGTATCTTTTTAGGTGAAGAAGGAATAGTTAAGACAGAGAATAAATTGGATGTTTTTAAATGTTGTGGTTAAAATATTTGATAAGACAGCATGGCAGAGTGGATAAGAGCAGGGATTCAGGAGCAGACTCTAGATTTTAATGAGTCAAGTTGTGTGCCTTTGGGCAATCTATTGGATCTGTCTGTGCCTCAGTTTCCTCATCTGGAATGAAGACAACAGTAATGCTTATCCTACTTTGTGTCATTGTTATGGGGATGCAATGAGCTAATCTTTATAAATCTTATAAGTACTTACCACAGTAAATCATATGCAAATGTCTGTGATAAACAGTTGTCTTTGGGAGAAGGAAGCTGAGGACGCCACCACGCCTGTCAGCCTCTGGAGTCTCTTACGCAGTTGCAGGGGTTCCAATTCCAGGTCTTCTCCAGAGTGTGCCGAGACCTGTGGTCTCCACGTGAGAGTCAAGGATCATGAGTTATTGATTCAGCTCTCTTCCAAAATCTGGGAGAACATCATTAGCATTTGGCAGAAATTCTGCTTCCTGATCAGGACTGGAAGCCCAGAGTTTTCCTCAAAAGCTGGAGTGAAGAAATAGTTTTCAAACAATTTAATTGCCATCTAAAGACATACCTGCTTAGTGATTCGTTTGGGTTGTACAAAAGGATGCTCTCAGGAGGACCAAAGGAAATTAATTCTCCCTGCATCAAGACGAAGAAGTGCTTGTGAACTTTCTATTTTCTTGTGAGGTGGGTATCTTACCAAGGCTAAGCCCAGAGGGATGCAGTGAAAGGAAGAGGGGGTGGGTGGGAAATTAAAATGACGGGGAAGTCCAGGGACAAAGGCAGACTACATAAACTCAAGAGGTGGGTTGGCGAGAGGCAGTGAAGGACGGAAGGATGTGTGCCCAGGGAGCCACTGACCCACATGCTTCCTGGAAAATATCTGTTTTCCTGCTTGGCATGGTTGTCTTGCTTGATTGACCACTTTTACTCAAACATTCCATCAATCTGGCGAACGTTTGGTATTGTCATCACCATTCTGATGGTCTGGGCTTAGCTGAATTCAGCAAAGAACAGTTGATAATGGAAGCCCCTCATTTTGAATTTGAGAGAAATCTGTTGGATGGGAATGACATCTCTGGTTGGATTTCTAAATTCTATCCCTTTATCCTGTTATACTCATCTAGATTATCTCTTCTTTGAGAACCAAATCCCAGGTCCTAAGCATACTGCATATCCCACAGGGAATTCAAAATGGGCACCTGTCTTCAGTTTATGGACCTTCCCAAGAAGGCAGGAAGTTCACCCAGCAGCCTGGTGCCTGCTGCTTGGAACCTGAGTGCAGCCCTCTGTCTCCCTTTACCAGACCTCTGAGTGATCGTAAGGATGGGGCTGTCTAACCAGACTCACACAAATCAGAGCTCTTATCCAGAGCAAGCTTTACTAATAATTTCAAGAAGCCAGTGATCTAGAGACATAGGGTAAGCAGGGGCCCATCAAGGACTGTCAGCACAGGTCCCCAGGTCCTTTCTCAAAGAACGTACTGGATTGATTCTGGCCTGAGTAAATATGTGAATGCCTGTAAGCTGTTGTGCTGGTCAAACCACTTACACAGAAGAGGACCATTTTAGTCCAGAAACCTCTCCATTTTATATTGAACTCATTACACAGCCTACATGACTTTTCAGGAAGCCCTGACCCAGAACAGACCCCAGGTTCCTTTAGCAGAAACAAGCAACCCCAGGTGCCTGGCCCACACAGCTCCCCCTTTCCTTGGAGGAGGACTCTCCCACTAGCAATTCCATCACTTGCTAGGCAGACACCTGTCATTAGCATCCTTTCAAGAGGAGACAGAGCCACCTTCTTTGTTTCCTTTATTTCCTGGGGGTGCCCCTGCAGACACTGGATTGCAGACTTGCTGCTTATCTTGTCCTCCCAGAGATAATGTGGCTGTTCACTTGAAAAGCCCAGCGGAGTCCCACTCTAGGGAATCTACCTGGAAAGCAATTCACTCTTCTCATCAAAGGGAAGAGCCTTGTTATAACATCTACCAGAACAGTACAGAGTGAAGCATGGTGCTGTTTGAGTGGGAGCACTTGCCAGAGGTTTCTTTCCCTCATCGTTTTGCTGGCGCTCCTGAGTTTGAATTCCTAAGCCGGTAGCACTGCCTGTGAGAAGGAAGCAGCCACGCTCTAGAAAATGCCATCAGCCACAGAGAAGACCCCCAGCGTGAGCCCCAGGGAGCAGGCACTCTGCCTCCTGGGAGGAGGTCTGGTTGCATGGAAAGCCTCACTGAGGCCAGACCTACTCCAATCTTGCACTGATGCTGGTTTGAAGCAGACCATCCTTGATTCCCCTTTATATGTGACTCAGCAGTTGAAGCAAAATTAGTTGTTACCTGTGAGGTTTGGATGACTGATGCTTTGTCATGAAAGGAGCGTAAACAAATTCACTACCTTGCCCAGAGTAGAAAACTATTGACTTTTACATTCAAACACAAAAGTCTAGACTCCAAATCTTGTCTTTCTCCCCAAGGGAAGACTGTGGCCATGTGATTTATCTTATCATGCATAACCAAGAGCTCCAGGGGCTGCTCTGCTGTGAATATTTACTGTGTAACAGCCCCCATCCTGAGCACTTCCTGTTGGTGATCTCATTCTAGTTGTGACAACCCTGGAGACAGCGTTTACCCTACTCCCACCTGGGGAGCCTGAGGCAGGGAACCAGCTAGTGGCAGAGCAGACGGAAACCTGGGTCTCTGCAACGCTCACTCTGCACTCCCACTCCCTTCCAACGCGTCTCCTTCCCTGCTTGCATCTCACAGAGCAATTTCATTCCATTAATTGATTTAATTTTTTTTTTTTTTTTACAAATGAACAGGGTAAACAATTGCTTTGCCAGGGCAGATGCATGACTTTAAAGCTCTCTTCAGGATTGAACTGCAGGTTTTCCATCTATATAAATAGATGTGAGTTTTAAATTATCTCCACAGGATTCCCTTTCCCTTCCACTCAATAGTCCCTCTATGTTACATGTAATATATAAATGTATTGCAGGCACACCTCGTTTACTGCACTTCTCTTTATTGCACTTCACAGATATTGCATTGTTTACAAACTGAAGGTTTGTGGCTACCCTGTGTTGAGCAAGTGTATCAGCACCATTTATCCAACAACATTTGCTCACACAGTGTCTCTGTGTCAAATTTGGTAATCCTTGAAATATTTCAAATCTTTTCTAATCTTTTATTGTTACATTTGTTAAGGTGATCTTTGATCAGTTATCTTTGATGCTACTGCTGTAATAGCCTTGGGGTGCCACAGCCTACACCCACATGAGAAGGCAGACCTGCCTGGTGAATGCGTGCTCTCTGGCCATTCCACCGGCTGTCTGTCTCCCTGACTCTCTCCCTCACCTCAGACTCCCTTTTGCTTAAGACACAATACTGAAATTAGGCCAATTAACAAACCTATAGCGCCCTCTAGGTGTTCACGTGAACGGAAGAGTCCCATGTCTCTCACTTTAAATCAAAGCTTGAAATACTTAAGCATAGCGAGGAAGGCATGTTGAAAGCTGAGATAAGCAGAAAGCTGGACCTCTTGTGCCAAGTGTTAGCCAAGCTGTGAATGTAAAGGACAATTTCTTGAAGGAAATGAAAAGTACTTCTCCAGTGAACACACAAATAAGGAAGTGAAACAGCCTTATTACTCTTATGGAGTCCGGACAGAAGATCAAACCAGTCACAGTATTCCCTTAGACAAAAGCCTCACCCAGATCACGGCCCTAACTGCAATTCTACAAAAGCTGAGAGAGGTGAGGAAGCTGCAGAAGAAAAGTTTGAAGCTAGCAGAGGTTGGTTCATGAGGTGTAAGGAAAGAAACTAAAACATTGAGTGCAAGGTGAAGCAGCAAGCTGTCCAGAAGATCTGGCTAAGATGCTTCATGAAGCTAAACAGGAGCTTTTCAATGTGAATGAAACAGCCTTCTAGTGGAAGAAGATGCCACCCAGCACTTTCATAGCTGGAGAGGAGAAGTCAATGCCTGGCTTCAAAGCCTCAAAGGACAGGCTGACTCTCTTGTTAGGGGCTAAAGCAACTGGTCAATTTAAGTTGAAATCAATGCTGTTTACCATTCTGAAAATCCTAGGGCCCTTGAAACTTATGCTAAATCTAGTTTTCCTAGCTCTATAAATTAAACAGCAAAGGCTGGATGACAGCACATCTGTTTATAAAGCCCATTGTTGAGACCTGCTCAGAAATAAAAAAAAGATTCCTTTCAGAATATGACTGCTCATTCACAATGCACCCAGCCACCCAAAAGCTCTGCTGAAGGTGTACAATGTGACTAATATTGTTTTCATGCCTGCTAATAGAGCAATGGATCAAGGAATCATTTTGAGTTTAAAGCCTTATTATTTAAGAAACATATTTCCAGGGGCTGCAGGTGCCAAAGATAGTGATTCCTCTGATGGATCTGAGCAAAGTCAATTGAAAACCTCTGGAAAGGATTCATAACTACAGATGCCATTAATAACATTCATGATTCATGGGAGGAGTATCAATATTCACAGGAGTCTGGAGGAAGTTGAGTCCAACCCTCATGGATGATTTTTGAGGGGTTCAAGCTTCAGTAGAGGATATCATTGCCGATGTGCTGTAAAGAGCAAGAAAACTAGAATTAGAAGTGGAGTCTGAAGATGAGACTGAATTGCTTCAAACTCATGATAAAACTTGAACTGATGAGACGTTGCTTAGTATGGATAAGCAGAGAGTGGTTTCTTGAGATGGAATCTACTTCTAACAAAGATGCTGTGAAGATTATTGAAATGACAGCAGGATTTAGAATATTACATAGACTAAGTTAATATTACATGGACTAAGCTAATATTACATAGACCAATACTAGAATAGTACATGAACTAAGCTGATAAGGTCAGGCTTTGAGAGGATTGTCTCCAGTTTTGAAAGAATTTCTGCTGTGGGTGAAATGCTATTGAACATCATCACAGGCTACAGAGAAATTAATCGATGCAGCAAATTTCATTGTTGTCTGATCTTAAGAAATTACCACACACCCCCACCTTGGCAACCCCCAACTTATCAGTCAGCAGCCATTAAGGCTGAGGCAACACCCTCCACCAGGAAACAGATTATGACTCATTGAAAGCTCAGACAGTGGTTAGCAGTTTTTAGCACTAAAATATTTTAATATTTTTGAGGTATGTACTTATTTTTAGATATAATGCACATTTTTAATGTGTAAATGTGTATTTTTAAATTATGAATATACATAATTGTACATTTAATAGACTACAGTACAGTGTTAAGATAACTTTTATATGCACTAGAAATAAAAATTTCATTTAATTCATTTTATTGCAGGCTAGAACCAAATACATAATATCTCCAAGTATGACTGCATATATATTTATAAATAATTGTGATATATGTATGTTATATATGTGTGTGTACATATGTATATGTACATAGCCTCTTCTGCTTTAGGTTGAGTATGGCTTTGTTCTCAATTAATGGGAACTTGAAACGGGAGCATGCTGCTATCTTCTCATCCACTTCTCCCTCCAAACAAAGACCTGCTAGAAACCTGCCATGGAAAGATGTATTTACTTTTCCCAATTTCCAGCAGCAGAGAATGCCTATGATGTCACAAGAGTCTATTTCTGGGTAAATGCAATCTAATGATTATAATGAAGAATGTACTTAAAATACTGGAAAACTAAAGGCAAGAATTTAATTAAGCAGAACATACTGAAATGCATTGAAAATCATGCAACTCTCAAAATAACCAATGCTTTAAAATAGAGATTAAGTCACCCCTGTTTTTCTATGGCATCAGTCCTACATATTTTATAGGCACAGACTCTTATCTTACCCTTCTAGTTTCTCCCAAGTCATATGAAATGTCCTACTTTCTGTTTCTGAGGTACCATAATTTTACAAAACAGCACACTTTAAGCAACACAGTATAAGAACAGCATTTGATACTTACGAGGTACAGACGTCTATTAATAGACACTGATAATGCACATGCTATGTACCAGGCATGGAGTTTTTAAAAATGAATAAAATACAACATTGTCCTCTGAGAACTCATAGCTTAGAAATTAAAATATATTAGGTTGTAATGAGCACTGCTTCTGAGGTTTAATCCCTTTGCTACATTTTAAATGCTGTAATTTTTAGGGACTTCAGTACATGTTGCTGACTCTCAAAGTGTAAGGTGGGACTCTAGGACCCTGACTCCTCTCCACAAGCAGGTGTGACCTGGCAGCGCTTAGAAGGCTGTGCCATTCTTTCCCACATCAGTCCATGTGTGCAGTGGGGCATGTCCTTAGCTTTCTTGTGCAAAAGCAGGGAGAATCCTTGCTCCGTTCACCTTATCCAGTCTTCATGAGGTCAAGTAAGAGAATACAGGCAAAGACATTTTGAAAACTCTGCCAGGTATTTATAAGCTTCATGAAGGCACACATTTTTACCTGTTTTGTTCATTTTTATATCTCAACAAAGTATGAATCATGATATATGCACAATGCATATTTATTGAATGAATGCAGATCATTATAAAAGAACTCAGCTTTTCACTTTAAGCCATTCAAGTTATGGTAATTGATTTTTTTCTATTTTTCATAAGGAAACATCTCATTTTGTGTAACTTGTAGAGTTAGTGCTCCCCAGGGCTGGAAGAGGTCCTGCAGAGCACCCTGTGCAGCCTCGTAGGGCGACTCAGTCCTCGCCAGGAGCTTGTCCAGCCTGCTCCAGATCATAGGCACCCAGAGGCTCTCTCAGGGCCACTTGGCAAGAAGTTCACCTCACTCAGCTGAAATCTACCTCCACCTGAGGCCCCAGAACAATTCCCCACCTTCAAATATTTCAAGACAGTTACCAGCTCTCTGTGCCCTCAGATTTCTCATGTTCAGCTTCAATGGAATGTTTTCTCATTTATAAGCTTAGGGTACTCAGCAGTTGGCATGTCGTAAGGTAATGCTCTGAATATTATTGGCTTCTACTCTTAAGATAATCGTAAAATTACAATAGATTTAAATTTTGTGTGTGTATAAACGTGAGCTATGGAGAAGGCCCAGGGGGAAGATGGTGAAGGATGACATGACTGTGGCTGAGAGGCGGAGGCAGCCTCCCTCAGGTAAATTCATCAGAAGCCCAACTCCCTGATGCTCCTGGGAGCTGAGGGAGAGACCAGGAGGGTGCGGGATGCAGAGGACAGGCTCTGGACCAGCAGAGCTGAGGGGCCTGCAGGAATTCAGGGAGGGCAGGTGGTGGTGGGTTCCCACTGAAGCAGGTGGCATTTCAGGGCCTGCAGCCGGGTTAGTGTATATTCTCTGGTGGCAGAGATACACTGGCTCAGTCGTGAACTGAAACCAGAGAATGAAATCCTTTGCGTAAACATGGCAAGCACGAAATTCCCCTGTGGCAAAGGGACCAGGGGAAGCCCTGCAGGGCTGTAAGGCCTCATCTTGCTCACACTGGTAGGCGGGCATGCAGACCGAGGCGGGAGTGCGCATGGGCCACCCACATGGCCGTAACCTCCCATATCAGAGCTAGAGTCCATGTTTTCCTATTTTGGAGTGATTCCTGTAAGCCTTCTGTGGTTGTGATACAGTTTAAGGAATAACAGCAGCAGGAGCCAGGACAAGCGGGGCTCTGTTTCCTATTTGCTGTCAGAGCCAATGAGCCTGGAGCCAGTGACCTGAAACTTCCTCACGATCATGTGATAGCGAGCAAATAAGAAGCCACCAGAAATTCACTCCAAAATGCACAACTTCATTTTGAGAAAAATAAGTATTTGAGTGTTAGAGCCTATGAGCACACATCAGCACCACGGGGCTGTGATTTCTCCCCGGTGCACTGTGTCTCTGGGAGTGTAAAACGTGTTCAAGCTGACATTTCAGAGTGGCTCATGGCTCCTTCTTCCTGACTGAATGCCAAACATGAAATAAAATACAGGGGATGTTTTGTCTGCCTAGTGCCACGCTCTGTGGGTGGAAGTCTGCGTAGTTCTGCCAGAGGAACAATAAGATTAATAGCAAGAGGGAAGCTCCAAGCAAATGCTCCAGCCCTGGAAGGGAAAAATGGGATGGAGATCATGAGGGGGACCCTGTGCGTGCACATGCGTGTGTATGGCATTCCCTGGTGCGTGCTTGCTGCATGGAATAAAATGTACTCAGTAATGTACTCAGTAATGATCGTGCTAATTTGCAAAACAGCATAAAGCCAAGGCAAGGCACTGACACACAATTTATGCAAAAAGAAAGGTGGCAATTCTCAAGTCTTCTAGGAAAATAGGTAGAGAGCTGCTACTATTAATGACGTAGGAATAATTCATGATTAGAGCATGACCAATTGCAGCCTGTTCTTCTCACATCTTAGGAGCTGCGGGATTTCCAAACACTCACCCTATGTTCTAAAACTTAATTGAGCAACTATATCACTGAAGCAAGTTGTGTTTGTGCAACATTGAATGACGTTGCATAGTGCATTACCTCTGTGTGTGTGTGTGTGTGTGTAGCTTTTGCCTTCAATTTGGATCAATGATAGATTATCCTATTCTTTAAAGAAACGGTTGAGTTGGGTAACATGCAGTATTTTATATTTATTTATTTATTTATTTTATTAAAGTATCATTGATATAAAATCTTATGTTGATTTTCAAATACACAACACAGTGGTTCAACATTTACCTATATTATCAAGTCCTCACTCCCTCCAGTGTGGTCACTGTCCAGCAACATACTAAGGTGTTACAGAATCATTAGCTGTATTCTCCGTGCTGTATTACCATGCCCATGACAAACCCATATTGTGATTGAGAATTTTTGTGCCCCTTAGTCCCCTTTCCCCTCTCCCAACCCCTCCTCAGCCCCTCCCTTTGTTAGCCACTAGTCCCTTCTCAGTGTCTGTGAGTCTACTGCTATTTTCTTCCTTCTGTTCCTATCTTTATACTCCATAAATAAGGGAAATCATTTGGTATTTGTCTTTTTCCACCTGGCTTATTTCACTGAGCATAATACCCTCTAGTTCCACCCATGTTGTTGCAAATAGGAGGATTTCTTTTCTTTTTATGGCTGAATAATACTCCATTGTGTGTATGTACCACATCTTCTTTATCCATTCATCTACTGATGGACACTTAGGTTCCTTCCATTTCTTGGCTATTGTAAATAGTGTGGCAATAAATAGAGGGGTGCATATGTATTTTTGAATCTAAGAAATTATATTCTTTGGGTAAATTCCTAGGAGTGGAATTCCTGGGTCAAATCATATTTCTTTTTTAGTTATTTGAGGAACTTCCATATTGCTTTCCACAATGGTTGAACTAGCTTACATTCACACCAGTGGTGTAGGAGGGTTCCCCTTTCTGTGCATCTTTGCCAGCATTTGTTGTTCTTAGTCTTTTTGATGCTGGCTATTCTTACTGGTGTAAGGTGATATCTCATTGTGGTTTTAATTTGCATTTTTCTGATGGTTAGTAATGTGGAGTATCTTTTCATGTGCCTGTTGGACATCTGAATTTCTGCTTTGGAGAAGTGTCTGTTCATATCTGGCAGCCATTTTTTAACTGGGTTATTTGGTTTTTGGGTGTTGAGGCATATGAGTTCTTTATGTACTTTGGATGTT